GAAGACACACTCCTCGTAAAAACACAAGACATGTGGAAACGTGGCGTTGGGTTTATCGTTAAGTGAGTGTCTTGTTAATTCATTTCTCATTATACATACATGTAACATGTTGAGAAACTTTGGCGGCTTTGGTTTGAATGAATCCAAAATGTCTGACTTTTGAGTAAATTAATGGCAGGTTGACCTCCAGTGCTCTCTACTCGATAGTGATGTATTCTCTGATCACGAGCGTATATGCTTTTGCCATGGTTCGGGTTTTCAGTACAAGGGATCTGTTTCTGATTGTTATGGACCTGTTCGTCTTTTTCGTTTACCTTTTGTCATGCGGAGTGGAAGTTGCATATAGATGGCGAAATCAGAAGATTCCATATTTCACCTAAAGTATATGGGCATTTTATAATTATGCTAATACGTATGACGAGCATCAACGTGATAGTTTCATTGAATCCTATAAAGCGTTTAGTCTTTCATTTCCTAGTGCCATCACTTACGTTTTGGACTTATTTTGTTTTTTTGGTCAATGTTATATGACTCTAGGAAGAAGATGACTCCTTGACCCAAACACTTGTTTAGGGTCTAATATCTATTCACCTTAATTATAAAATTCTATCCATAGTCATTTATCATTATTTGTATTTTCAGGTTTATATCAGTTTCAAAACATGTTTTCACCTTTGTCTCTTTTGTCAAATCTCCAAGTCTCTGTTATAGTTGGTTTATAAGCTTTAGAGACAATTAAGTAAATATTCGCGCTATGCTGCGGGGTTTTCTTTTTAAAATTGAGTTACTTTCCTTCAATTGAGTATGTAACAATGCATGTGTCTAACCTCAGAAACTCCCATAACTTCAACTTACACTTGTCTTCTCAACTGTCACCTAATGGGGTCCCTTACAAGATTATAGGGAACATGTAATCAAAGATTTGTCTTTATACCATTAGAAACTTGTCTGTGTTCAGTGCATTGGACTTGAAATCTAAAGAGTGAGTCCTCCGATGAACATATATAAATCAATTTTCTATGGACTAATGATGATTCCAACAATGGTGAAAAACAGAGTCAATAAGACACTACTGATATTGTTGAAGAAACTTTGCATTCTCATAAGTATTCCAATCTTGTTTCTCTCTAATGTTCTCCACACCAAGTCCAAAACTTATCATCTTCATGATCAGGAAGAGCTTCAAGGTCAAGAAACTAGGACCAACC